ACTCCCACTCCCACTACCACTACCACGGGCGACCACTACCACTCCCTCTCCCACTCCCACAGCTACTGCCACAGCTACTGCTCCTGCTCCTGCTCCTGCTACTGCTGCTCCTGCTACTGCTACTGCACTACTACTANNACTACCACTACCAGTACCACTACTACTACTACTACTACTACTACTACTACTACTATTACTACTACTACTACTACTACTACTACTACTACTACTGCTACTGCTACTGCTATTACTGCTACTACTGCTCTACTGCTACTACTGCTACTACTGCTACTACTGCTACTACTGCTACTACTCCTACTAGTACTACTACTACTACTACTACCACCACTACTACTACTACTACTACTACTACTACTACTACTACTACTACGACTACGATTATGACGGTTACGACCACTACGACTACTTCGATTTCTACGACTACGACTACTTGAGCTACTACTAACTATTACGACTACTGCGACTGCTACGACTTTTACGAATGGTACGATTATCACGACGACGACTACGACTACTTCAGCTAGGATTAACCATTACGACCAGTACGACTGTTACGGCTCTTACGAATGGTACGATCATCTGACTGCGCTTAACCGAGCGTGCACATGTTTGCACGCATTAGGATGGTTCAACTGAAAAGTTGCTGAGGATGAGTCTTGCTGTGTATTTACCTGAGTGTCGTGAAGAAGAGTTTGTTGACGTTTTCATGCATGAGTTCACGATAATTCACGTACAGTCTCGCGATATCCGGTACCATCACCCCTGTGACAGACGCTCTTCTTCTTTGCAGCATGATGTTGGACTCTTTTCCCCGCCACGATGGTGGGTGTGTGTGGCAGGGGTGATGCAGCCTTTATGCTCGCCGCCACCAAGTACCATCACATGGCGTTGACAAAGGCCAGTGGGCTGCCAGGAATGATTTATGGCTCCTACCGTCTCGTCTTGTTCCGGGGCAGAAAGCGGACGACAGGACAGTGACGCTTGCCAGTTTGGACAGAGGTTCGGGTGCCACTCTGCTTAGCATTGATAGCACGGAGCTTCCTAGTCGTGTAAGCTTGAGCCCTTGCGAGCCCGGCTCACCAGGTGTCTCCAGAGTTACAGGAGGCCTGTGGGGTGAGCGACGGGGGGGAGGGGCGGGTGTGCAGGTCAATGTGAGGGTCGGTGCTTTCCGCCTCAAAATTTAAGAGTTTCGTGGATCCCTCACCCTAAGTTCAACATACCGTCACGTCCACAAGTTCGGAGTGAGGCTTCCCATCTTCAAGTCCTTGCAAGCCTAACTGAAGGACTCAAGACTGTGTATCCTTTCTTGAGAGCGTCGTAGGGTTGTCCTCGGCTTAGGAGGACGGTGTATGCTTTTGGCCATGGTGGCTTGGCTCCGAAACACCCCAACATAGTCTATAGAGGAGCGGCATCGTCATGCGCTACTCAGCTGGCTGCTGCCTCCGAGAACCATTGGAGACATGTCGAGCGAAGCAACACCGGCAACATGTGTGCGACTTTCTGCAATGCAGGATCTGAAAGCACGAAGCTTCTCTGTACTTGTTCACTTGTTCAGGTATCTATTGGTTGAGATACCCAGCCGCATACATACGCACATCCATAGTTTAAATGCAGCAGATTCAAGAGGATATGAGATACAGAATATAGGCTTATGCACTCGCATATACAATTATGTATATATATATATATATAATTATATATACATATTGATTGTACATATATATATATATATATATATTATACACTTTTCCATATATACATAGATAACATCTATACCTGCGTACGTACATACAGTTACATATCTACGTACATACATACCTGTATACATGCCTCCAAGTCCAACCACCGGCTGTTCGACTGCACGATGGCACCGTGTATTTATCCACTATGCTGCATGCTGCCATGCTTCTAAACGATACCAGGTACCGTGCCACACTTTACCATGCCCCACCAAAGAATACTGTGCGAATGCATTGTTCTTCGGATTCCTGGTGTTTAACTCACTATGGTACGCTGGACGCATGAAGCCGATTCTAGCTTTACTCGCAATCTAGATGAAAACCCGCAGCCAGTGAAAACGGAGCTACAACGACCCTGAGCTCTGTATTTAGAAGAGACCCCGTGTTGGGCACGTTTCCAGGATCCGGCCTTTTGGAAGTCCGTGGTGCAAGAGATCGATGATGGCTGGAGGACCCCGTTCTTACCTTCAGTGAAGCTCAGCGACCCACTACCCGCGGCAGAGTGCTTGGTTGCGGAGTCTGCGTGTGTGAAAGGGACACTCCTTGCAGGCTGGCCTACGTAGACTATGGGCCGAGCAGCTTATGCGACAACCCCGAGGCAGGCTCGCAGCGTCAGTGCCGATTAATTCTAAGCGCCGGCGCAGAGTAGTTCAACTCAGCAGCCTCAGCGGTAGTTTCAGGAATCCCGTGAAGAGGCACGGCATTGAGCACGCAGGTGGGGATGATGATGATGGTGATGGTGATGGTGATGATGATTATGACACGCAGAATGACGACGACGGCGACATGTGCAGGTGTGGTCATGGTGAGCACAACGATGATGCACCGGTTGCGGATGGTATGCCTTTTGATGACGATGTCCCAAAACTCCAGCGTCAAAGTCTTGCAGGTGATGCTGGCAGCGGTGAAGCAGAACGTGGAGGCCTTTCCGCTTCAGGATGCCCTGGTCTTTTCTGCGTGCATCTCCCATCGAAACGAACACTACCGCTGCGACCCTGGTGTCTGGTTAAGTGGGGTGCTCATTCTGCGTGCCTCAGCGGTTCGGGACTGTCGTGGCGTCCATGGATGTTCACTTTGAGCGCCCTTCGCTGATCGGACCATCTGTTGCACCCTCTTCCGCCCCTTCTCAGCCTAAACGAGCCCGAAAACATCCCTCAGACCTGAAAAACCCCGAAACTGCCCGAAAAACTCTGAGCCCGAAACCGACATCCCTGAACTCCGGAACCTTGTTATTAGCTGTTAGTGCTGCAATAGTGTTGTCGCTAGTAGCTTATTCTTTTGTTAGTCGTACTATTACTATTATTACTGTTGTTATTCTGATTAGTATTTGCATTCGTGCCATTATTGTTACTACTGTTATTGTCGTGGAGCCCCACGGAAGGTGCTCTCCTACGGCACAAAGAAGGTTAGAAGCGACCCTCGGCGTAAAATCGCAAAGCCCCAGAGCCTTAATAGGCTTTAGGGTTTAGGGGTTTAGCCTTTAGGGTGGTTCAGTTTTCAGGCATGTACGGCTGTAAAATCGTTTCTTGATGCTGAGCTTGTTCACTTCTCGTCCTTGGTGGTGTGATGTTCGGAAAGTTACACGTTCGACTTGCAGCTAAAGTAGCTCTCAAAGCCCATAGAAGTCTCCCTAAACCCATCCTGAACCCTAAGC